AATAATAACTAGGGACGTTTTTTTTTTTTTTTGAGCCAGTACCCATATCCGATATTTGTCTTCCTGTTGTGGCCAATAGCCGCTCTACTGTTACAGATTAAACTTTTTAAAAAACTTAAAATTTTTAAAATCTATACTACAGACTAAACTTAAGTTATAGTTAAGTTTACAAATTAACTTATCGTTTTTGTAAAAAAATAATAATAACAAGATGAGTTTATCTAAAAATGCATATTTTCATTCATTTAGTGTGTTCAGATCTGATGCACTGAGGTCAAAGTGGACACGACACATGGACTCACACGTACTGGGGCAGTGCACAAAAACATCTGTACCAAATATCAGAAAAATGTTTAATATGACATGATATCACAGATAATTGATAAACCATTATTTCACAATTCCTAAATTTAAAAATGCACCTTGTTTATTAGAAAATCATGTAAGAGCGTGTGGAATGGCCGCGGTTGTGTGTGTGCACCCTCATGTGGTGTGAGGTGGTGTAATGTGTAAATGAACATGAGGCATGAGTTTGAGGTTAGCCTCAAATATGTAGCTCTAGTAAAATACACAGGGATGTACGAGACGGGGTTTACCACATGCTTAGTCTGAGAAAATATAAATAATCTGGAGGAATTAACTGAAAGAAAGTCTAAATCTAAATAAAAACAAGAGGTAAACCTCACATTGCACTCATCCAAACACCAAGGTATGCACAGGAAAGGAGAGAAAGATGGAAGTGACTTGCCAAAGGACACAATGGAATTCCAAAAGAAAATGTACAAATGTTGAACCTGAACCTGAATTTAGTGACGAGATTACTTTCACCAGAAACTATTAACTAAGTAATTTGGTAGGAAACAAGCTCAGTTCAAATCTACAAGTCAATGTAGTAATACCTCCTGAAAAAACTCACATTGGTATTTGAGTGGAACTGAGTCAATATTGCAAAATCTTTTTGTTAACATGGTATTTTTGAATAGCAAAACTAATTAAGCAACTATGGGAACATTTTTGACTCTTAATTTAATCTGGTTAATCAAAAATGAAACCAGAACAATATATTATGAATAAAAAGTGTACATACTTTCTTTATTTCTAACAAAATACAAATTTGCAAACAGCACAATTGTAAATAATGTTCTATACAAGTGTTCATGGTCCAATTTTGGTGTTTAATAAGGGTGAGTGTGGCTCATCTCAGTGGGCTCATACTTTCGAGCAATAAAGCTCAGGATTAAAGTCTAACTTGAGTAAAAGAACTTCAGACAGATCAGAGCCTCCAGTTAGCATCACCCTCCAAGTAAAGATTATCTCCTTGAAAGCTATCATTAGGGTCTTAGTAATAGTCACACAGGGAAAAACTAATTGGCTGCCCGTGCTCTAAGGTCATCCAAAATTAGCCAAATGTAGTCTTACCCCTGTCGACCCCCTGTCCCCTCCCCCTCATGTCCCAGCCTGGCCCATGACTTACACTCTGAGGATGTGGAGGGCTTTAGTGTGTAACCATACACTGCAAACGTCTGCTGCGGGTCGCCCCCTCACCCTGCACTTCAGCTCTGACTCAAACTAACACACGGCTTCTAGGGAAAATGGATGGGCTTGGACTGGGCTTTGTCAACCACAGTGGGCCACAGCTGAAGAAGGAGTTCAAAATGAGAGGCCATTGTTTTTAGGGTTGTCAAAAAACCCAGATATTCATTTGAAGATGTAACATTACAGGCCAATAAAATCTCATTAAGAGAACAAAATGAGATGTTTTTAGAATGGTCTTAATCTATACAAAGGTAACTAAGGTGTTACGGCCCCAGGCCTTGGTTCCAAATTGTCTGTGTGATTTTTGCCAAGTTCTCCTAATTCCTGCTGTAGGAGCCCTGGTCCGTGATTGGTGGGGCAGGTCGACGCCCACCTCACCTGCAGCCACCGCCCCCTATTTAAGGAGATGACCAGCACCTGTTCGGGGCTGCTGGCCTTGGTGGACAGTCTGCCATTTTGTTTCGTGTGTGTGTAGTTTAGTTTAGTTCTGTTTTGTGCCTTTTTTGATTCGGTCACTCGATTCTGTTTGTGGGTTTATGTGGTTTAATTTGGGGAACTTGTGTTTTGGTTTAGTGTGTGTCCCTAAGTTTTACCACTCGTTTTTTGAAAGCCTGAGTGACCCCTTTTGTGGCACAAAACTCAGTTTATTCTGTTGTTCTGTTTCTTAGGTTAGGTTGCTTTCTGTATATTTTTAGTCTTTTGTTAATTTACCTTTACATTCCTGTAAATTAAACATTACTTAATTTATTCCATTTTACATCTTGGTTTTTATTTTTGTTACTTCCCTTACCCAATCAAAATCTGTGTTGAAAATCGGCACTAAACAGCAGTTACATAAAAGATTATATAAAGACCTTGGTGTCTGTTGATGACAGAAATGGAGGTGGAATGTCACGTGATGTGGCGCTATACAACATCTTTTCTAATTTAACAGAGAAAATGAATTATTATTGTCTAAGATAATGGAAAAATGATGGACACTGTCAATAATATAAAGTATTGACCTTATTCTGTCCCATCGACTTTTGGCTCTTGTCATGGCCTCTGATGTGCCATGTTTCTATTCATTATTGTTCTATTTTGAGGTGACCCGGAGGCACTAGGCCCCAGCACATCCAGTCACGTATAAAACACCACCTGGCCACGCCGTCAGCCGATCCCCCCAATGCATCTTAGAATTATTTGCACATATTTATTGTAACTTATTCATAAATGCTTAAATCTTTGCTGTAGTTGTGTCTCCCAGCTTTCACTGTTGTGGTCATAGAGCCAGGCCATAACAGCTCTAAACTACTGTGTTTTTCGGACTATAAGGCACACTAAAATCCTTTAATTTTCTCAAAAATTAACAGTGTGCCTTATTTTGTTGTGCTTACTGACCTCAAACCGATTTTATGTGGTACACACTCAAAAATCTGTCAAAATGTTTTAATACAACAGGTAAGCTATGAAGCCGCATCACTTGATGGATTGTCGGAGCTTTACAGCTGCCCTAGTCAAGAGTAAAGGGCGAAGTATAGTTCTATGTCGACTCAGCGCACACTGCCGCTGTCGCCTTGTGGCAGAAACAACACATATACCGTATTTTTCGGACTACAAGTAGCACTTTTTGTCATGGTTTGGGTTTTTCTTGCGACTTATATTCCAGTGCAACTTATATATTAAAATGTTCACACTGACAGGAGCGAGAGGCTCTAGGCTTTTGCGCAAGTATCTGCTACTCCTATTACTCCTGTACCACTGTCACTTCACTCTACTGTGCATGTCTCCTGCAGAAAAAGACACATATGATCCCAAAAAGAAAATTATATTTTGCAGATTATAAACTGCAAGTAGTGAAATATGAAGACAAGAACGGTAATCAAGCAGTAGAAAGAAAGTTTGGAGTGAGTGAGAAATTTGTGACACCGGCAGGATGCACCATGAAACTTTCCTGAAGTCACTGGATGGATGGACAAAGCCTGGACTTCAGTGACACCGAAACCATCCTGTGGGGAAGAAAGGCCGAATAATTCTAACTGGAACTGATGCTGAGTCTGACGACAGCGACACAGAAGAGGAGGCGGTGCTCTATTTACCTACGGAGGTCGCCAAGTTGCTCAGACGTGACACCAAGGATGAAGAATTCAGTTTAGTGAGATGGAGAGTTTGGTAAACTTGTTCTGTTGTTTATGTTATAGTTATCTGAAGAACTTTTCATATGTCACGTTAACAGTGTGTTGTTCTCTGTTCTATTGTTATTACTAGAACTTGACTTTCAACAGGAAATGTCTGTTCCTGGTCTCAGATTTTATAAAATATATTTCTCTCAGAAAGTGCAATTTATAGTCCGGTGCAATTTATACTCCAGAGTGACATACAATCCCCTGAGTCGTGTCCTTTAGACCGACAGAAGCTGACCGCATCAGCAGCACAAGGAGCGAGCCGTTTTTTTTTAGCACTTATAATCTTAAACTTAAATGATCCACCCACATTCACATTCATAATACACATTAACCAAGACAGGGAGACAACGCCGGGCGAGTTACTCCACAGCCAGCCAATGGATTGTGGACGTCTGGGCTAAGGATCAGTCTCAAGTGTTGTCTGTTTGCTTCGTTTAATGCGCCTTATAATCCGGTGCACCTTATGTATGAAAACAAAATGAGAGAATTCAACATTATTGATATTGCGCCTTATAATCCGGTGCACCTTATAGCACAACTTTCGTTGTAGTGGCACTTTGAGAATCTAATTTAAAGTAATTATTAAAATGCCTTTGTAGTCCATATAGAACTAATTTGCTGTCAAAACTGGCAGCCCCAAGCAAAATAATATAACCCCAAAGAGGATGGAGGCGCCTACAGCAACTTCCGGAAATTCAATTCCACATCCCATTTATCAATCCATACCATTTATTTAAGCTCTTTTTTGGCCCCTCTTTATGGATGCAGATTAGATTAGGATTTCTTTTCCTTCCATCAATACCAAACAGAAGCAGATGAGTCACAAAAGATCAACTTCATGAACTCGTGGCTTAGACAAACACAAAGCTCTCTGTTGGCGTAGATGAAAGCAGGAGAGAGGGACACTATGCAGTTACAAGATATCTGTTCACAACCCGTAAATCAGTGCTCCAGCGGCCCCCGGGGAGCCTTCCCTCTCCTCCCGCACCAAACGCACAGGACATACTTGTTTCTACAGGAGCGTTAGCCGTCCCATACTAACAGGCCAAGGGCTAATGCGGTCTGCAGCTAAAACGCTTTAATGTGTGACCTAGATATGAGTCCAGACATAAGACGTTTTAAATTAATAATATGTGATTGATGTGGGTGTCTTGCCCAAGGACACAACGGTAAAAGTAGTTAGAAGCAAGGTTTGAACTGTCACTCTTTTAAGTTAAATTTTTCTTATGAGTTCAAACTTAACGCACATTTTGAGTCTAAGATTAGTACAAAAGTGGTGCTTATTTAGTATTGCATTACCTTATAGCAGTTGATTGCAAGTGAAGTGGTAGGCTCCCTTTTGGTGCAGGACGTCGGGGGTTCTATTCCCTCGCAGTGCACCAAAAACCTCGAGCCAGTTCCAAGCCCTGAAAAACAGAGAGTTGCTGTATGAGACATTTTTTCATATCACAACATTGCTGATATTTTTTGCAACCATTACAAATATACTTAAAGGTGTACTGAAACTTTCCTGATGAAGGCTCTGCCACCTACTTGTATCATGTCAATGTAAATGTTATTGCTTTGATCAGAATGTTCCACAGTATGGCATTAAAGTTGTCTATCTCCATGAAGACAGACAGGTGATGCTACCAGGCCAAATTACAGGTCAAAAATGTAACTTTTTGGCCCCCAAGGGTTTTTTGAGCAATAAAACAACCGTAATGACAAAAATGCTGGATAAATAAGTTAAATATCATAACATCTCCATGGAGACTAAGAGGTAGCCTGCCTCCACCAAAACCTACATACATACTCCATACAGTACACCCTAAGGCAACAGAAGAAGATTCAGCTTTCACAACTGAACCTGGGTTGCCAGTAGCCTGATTCATCAGTCGGATTTACTTCGTTTCACTTCGTAGAAACCTTCTGACCTTGCAATCACTTAGAAATCATTCGCTTGACGGTAGGTGGGTACTTTTTTATTTAACCAATCACTGTTATTTGGTCGTGATGTATGTAATGCGCCAATTACGGGGCTAACTGGTATATTAAGCTTTTCCCACATTCCGTAGGAAGAAGGACAATAACGTCTTTTCCCTTGATGAAATTCACCAAACATTCTCTTTGTTCGGGCTTTAAATCCTCAATCTCGGAAATCGTTGACAACAGTGAATGTCTGGCTCTTCGCTTGCACTTCCGGGGTTCTTGCAAACCATCTAGTGTATTCTGATTCCTGACCTAGTAGCTGGAGAAAAATTAAATTGAGCGGAGGCACTAGGGGGCACCAGCCTGGCTAGGTTTCCAGTGCCTTAACCTGCAGATACACCTGAGTATATGGACAGGTCATGCGTTATGTGAAGCTCAGAACCTCCAAAATTCCCTCCTTGAGCTGCACTAGCACTGACTCAGGACTGGTGCAGGTGCTGGGGTTTAGGTAGTGACCGTTCAGATGAGAGAGACATTTTAGGTTTAAATCAACTGAATTTTACCCTTAAAACTGGCAACACAAATGGATTGGATAGGTCTAATCTTGTCAATCAAAACAAAAACATGAACATCTTAGCCACTGCTCCACGCTTTTTAAGTAAGAATAAATCAACATGACAGTCATTCTCAGTGAAAGCTCTATTTGACTTGAACCTGTTTGCCTTGTATCTAAAGACTACAATTTCAAATGAAACTCTTAAATGACATTCCCCTTTAAGCAAAAGCAGCACAACTGGCCTGAAGAAAGGTTAGCATAGCAGTTATAGTGTAGCTCTGCTAATCTGACAGAGATGTTATCATGCACATTCCTGACGGGCCTTAGGCACGCCGTCACACACACACATACACGCCCTCAAAACAGCATACAACTGCACACAAACACTAACACACCGCACACAATACACACACACAAATACCAGGGATTCCTCCAGCACAACCATCCAAAAGTCTGCACCACTTTGTGACGGGGGAGGGAGTTTGGGTTTGGTGAGAAGGAACACAACAGAAAACATTATGATAAGCAAAAATATTTTACACCACAAATGATAGTCTCAGAACAACCTAAAGCAAAGTAATCAACATTTTAAAAACAAACTATATACTGTAAAAATATATAAACTGAACATTTAAGTACTTGGTTAGTATAATGAATGAATCAAAGATGTGTTTCAATCTGGGCTTGTGCTTTAGAGTGTATGTTAGAGTGCGTCAGAGTGCGTTAAGAGTGCGTTAAGAGTGCGTTAAGAGTGCGTTAAGAGTGCGTTAAGAGTGCGTTAAGAGTACGTTAAGAGTACGTTAGAGTGCGTTAAGAGTGCGTTAAGAGTGCGTTAAGAGTGCCTTAGAGTGTGTCAGAGTGTGTCAGAGTGCGTTAGAGTGTGTCAGAGTGCATTAGAGTGTGTCAGAGTGCGTTAGAGTGCGTTAGAGTGTGTCAGAGTACGTTAGAGTGTGTCAGAGTATGTTAGAGTGTGTTAGACGGCTTTAATGAGTGATAAATATTTTTGTCACTTAGACCCTGACAGAGATGATGAGCATTCAGAGGGAGATGAATGAGCACGATGTAGGATGGAATCTGAGCCCCCCTGAGCCTGAGGGAGGAGTCTAAACACTGAGGGAGGAGTTTATAGACATTGTGGGAGGAGACTAAAAATTATGGTGGTGGAGTGTAGACGCTGGGAGAGGAGCCTAATTAGTGTTGGAGCCTAAAGACACTGTGGGTGGAGCCTCGAGACACTGAGGGTGGAGCCTACAGACACTGAGGGTGGAGCCTACAGACACTGGGCGGAGCCTAGACTCTGTGGGTGGAGCCTAGACTCTGTGGGTGGAGCCTAGACTCTGTGGGTGGAGCCTAGACTCTGTGGGTGGAGCCTAGACTCTGTGGGTGGAGCCTAGAAACACTGTGGATGGAGCCTAGAGACACTATAGGTGAAGCCTAGAGATACTGTGGCTGGAGCCTAAAGACACTGGGATGGAGCCTAGTCATTGGGGGTGCAGCCTAGACACTGGGGTGGAGCCTAAAGACACTGGGGTGGAGCCTAAAGACACTATGGTGGAGCCTAAAGATACTGGGGTGGAGCCTGGGGTGGAGCCTAAGACACTATGGTGGAGCCTAAAGATACTGGGGTGGAGCCTAAAGACACTATGGTGGAGCCTAAAGATACTGGGGTGGAACCTAGTCATTGGGGATTGTGCCTAGAGACACTGAGGGTGGAGCCTAGACATTGGGGGCAGAGCCTAGTCACTGGAGGTGGAGCCTACAGACAGTAGGGGTGGGGGCTAAAGACATTGCAGACAAAGTCTAGAGACAGTAGGGGTGGAAACTAGAGACACTGGCTGGAGCCTAAAGACACTGTGGGTGGAGCCTAGACACTGGGGTCAAAGAGTCATGAACCCTGAGGAAATGATTCCTCTGAGGAGGAGATGGGAGGGTCCAGGCAGGTGACGCTGAAGGGCGGTGGCAAACAGCTGAGAGGCATGAAGGAAGGCGTGGACCTGACAAGACTTGAAATGGTGACAGGTGAAGGAGCAGTCTCCCAGTCTGTACATTCACTAAAGCTGCATTAGTCACACAGTCACACACAACAGCTCTAAAGTATAACCTTTCTGTTTGAAGGTCTGCCATCTGATCATTTCCAAGAATATGGTATTGCTTTGCTTAAAATGTTTCAAGTCTGGTGAAAGCATGTGGTGCCACTAGGCAAAAATAAAGATCAGATCTGTGGAAAGGCAAGCCCAATCATAGTAAAAATGCATGTTTTTCATTTATGAAAAAATGTCCGCAGACAAGCAGCCTGGAGAAACACTGTTCTAAGATAGGGTTGTGAAGAGTATCAAACACTACAACTACCAAAACTAGACATCTGAGCAGTATTGATACTAAAAAAAAGTCACATCAACCATACAGAAATGGTGGAACAGAGCATTTTGAGCTTTGGAGATGTAGACAGACTAATAATGCAGAGTTACTCAAACATGTTTGACTGAAACAAAACATTCTAATATGACTTAAAGCTCACAGGAGTCAAATTTGTGTGATTAAGGACCTGGTGAAAATCACATTGGCCACATTTACACCCATTTAATTGTTTGAGTTAGAAAACACGTCATCTTTATTTAATTCCGCTCAATGTCTTCCTGGGGGTGGGGAAGGGTTCTGACTGGAAGAACATATTTATGTTGACTGAAGAAAACACACACTTCAGCTGCTACTGGCTTTTCTGTCATCTTGGTTTGTTGTTATGCCACGGACACAAACATGATCCAAACTTTTTTTGCAGTGGTTCTGATAATTGCGCAGGAGCTGGAGAATTGTCTCATCACACTTTACGTCTGTCAGCTGAGGAGGAGAAGGGAAGAGTGTCGGAGAAGGAGGAAGAAAACAAACTGAGTCTGAGGCTGTTGTACCTCAGCCCACTCCTGCATCCTGCTCACAAATCCAAAGAGGTGTTGATGAAAGACCAAAGAATCAATCAGAGGGGGCGACACAATGAGCATGCACTGAACCATTGACATTGTTTTTAAGAAGAATAAACGTTTACATGATCCAGCAATGAAATAATTAGGCTTTAAAATGGGAATAAACCAGAATTAAATGTAATTCTGAATAATAATTTTCATTCGGAGTTAAGTATGTACATGGTCTTTTTAAAGTGGAATTATATTTTTATTCGGAATTGAAGCTCTCATGTAAAAGTGGCAATTCTATTGTCTAATGAGAGTTTTTAATTAACTAACTGTGTAATCTGAATCGGTATTGAGTATCGAGTCTGTGTCTTACTTTCAAAATGTTAGTACTGTGACAACTCCAGTCCGATCTCTGCTAGAAAACGGTTCTTCTGACACTATGTTCTCTTATTATATGGGCGGTGTGAACATTGCAGCAGTTTCCCGTGGGCTGGATGAGGAATGCTGACTCAGGCTTGACATAGTTGGTGCCGGGCCAGATGAAGACGAGCCCCAGAGCCCAGAGGGGAGCTTCCATGTCAAGTGGAGTCTAGCTCACAAGGTATCATTAAGCAGTTAGATTACAGCTCCATAGCGTGGGCCTTTGTTTGGTGAGGAGTGGTGACTGTAAATGGCTTTCCAGTGATACAGGCCTGATCCACGCTGACAGGAGTAGAATAGCATCTAATAACACACATAAACATCAGGCAATTTGTTGTAATCAAGTGTGCAGTAAACTATAATTACTGTAGTTGATCTGTCTGTGAGCCGCAGCAGTTAAATAATCAATGTAAGCAGCAGATTGACTTTTGACCTTCACCATAACAATGTTCTGTCCGCTGTACAGGATAGTCTTTCTTTTTTTAACAAATACTATTATGCTGTTGTGTTTGGGCGTGTTTTTCAGTCCCGCCTGCAATATGTTACACTCCTGTATTAGAATGTCATCTGGGCAGACAAAATACACCAAAACATCATGAGAAACGTGATGTGG